CACAGGGTTCCTACTCAGGGCCTCTCCATACCCTTTGTAGTCCCCAAACTTCAAAAGTCCCTTAACAGCATCTTTCCTAACTGGCTGTTGGCACTGGGGCTATAAGCAGTGTGCAATCTTATAGCCCAGCCTACTGGATATACAGTCTGGGGAATCTTGAATGAAATGCCACAGATATTTGGGACAGAGCTGGGGCAGTGCTCAGGGCTCCCATGCACCTCAGAAAAGCCAAGGCTATGCTTTCTGTAAGTGAGCCAGACCTCTCCCCACCTTGGAGGACGAAGCGATGGAGTAATAGCGGGCCTGCAGCCGAGGCAGCAGCTCACACAGGTGGTCGATGGGGGGCCGTAGGGACGGGTAGTCCTGCAGGATGGCCAGGATGTGCCTCCGAGCTTCTACCACCCAGCTCAGGTACAGCTCCTGGGGAGGACGGAATGCAGGGTGAAACATGGGTAAGGATGCAGTGGCCCAGTGGACCTGGCTGAAGCTGGGCCCAAGCCACTTGGAGAGTAGCTGATGGGGTGGCTGAGGGTAGGGGATGGGTGCAGCGCAGGGGTGAGGCGGTGGTGATCTGAGTGGGCAGTGTGGCAGGCTTACCTTGCCCTCGCCTGAGGAGGAGGCCATCTTGCGCAGGTGTTCCTGCTCTGAGGGCTCCGAGGCATACTGAGCCAGCTCGTAGAGTATGTTGGTGCGTGGTGGGTTGGTGATGTCCAGGTAGTAAGTGAGGGCGGTGCGGTAGGAGGTGGGACAGGGAAATGGGTGCTTCTTGTTGGATTCCTCTGAATGGGAAGAGAAGGCAGGATTTGGGGTAAGTGGGGTGCCATGGGATGGGGGTGGGGGAAGCTGCAGGCTGCTCTGTAGGAGCAAGGCCAGCTCTCTGCAGTGTTTCCTTGGTCCTGGGGCAAAGCCTCAAGCTTTCAGATAGCCTTAAGCTTCAGAAGTGGGACCTTGCTGGAGGAGGCCTGGTGTTCACTGTCCGCACTCCAGGAACATCTGAGTCCCTGCAGGTACCCTTTGCTTGCCGAGAGCAGCTCAGAGAGGGCTGTGGAGCCAGAGCTGCCCCAGGCTCATGACCATGAAATGCAAATACTGGGGCTTTCAGTTGTGATGACAGGGCCATCTCCAGGTTACTTTTTATGCTTGGACACCTAGAGATCTACACACAGGACACACGTGCAGTGTCCTGTATGCTCCAGGTGCAGCCATTGGCATAGGCCCCACCACCAGCCCCTGCCACTGCCTTCTATTGGCACCAGTCAACGAGCCGGCTTTATTGACCTCCTCCCCTCAGTCAGGCTAGAGCAGGGAGCAGAGCACGGCCCAGTCCAGGACCCAGTCTGGGAGCAGCCAACAAAGAGCTCCACCTCTACAGGCATAACTGTGGGGGCTGTTTATGCCTGTGGACAGATGAGTCTCTGTAGAGAGAGGGCATGGCCCAGGATGGGCTCAGCATTTAGAGGTCTGGGTCTATTTTTTGGAGGGGTTTAAACTTTTTACTGAAGTATGACCTACAAGTACGGCCTATGTATATAGTTGATGAATTTTCACAAACTGAACATCTTAGTGTATTTCGCACCCAGATCAAAAAGAGGGCATTCCCAGCACCCCCAGAGCCCTCTGTGCCGAGCCCCAAAACAGGGATCAGGCCTCACACTACAGGGCAGGGTGTGTGAACACATCTTTTCTAAAGCTGTACATCCTTGGGGAGTTCTGAGCCTCTGCACTTCTCTCTGAGCAGCTTTTAGTAGTAAAGGGCCCCCGGCAAGGTTCAGATTCTCCTGGGGGAAGAGTGAACACCACAGCCTCCTCCAGCAAGGTCCCGCCTCTGATGGTACAAAGGACATGCTCCACAGAATGACAGACAGCCCCAAGTTCGCATTCGCTGTGCCTCCACTGCTGGCATGATGAATTCTGATGTGAATCAGCCCCCTTTCATGCTGTTTCTCCCAAAGGCCTCTCTGGAGCTGGTGAGACGGAGTAGCCAAGCTAGGGTGACCAAGGACAAGAGAATGGGGCAATGCCAGGTGGAGCTGGGCTGCCCCATGGGGTCTTAGGAAAACTCTGCACCAGATTCAGCGCCTCTTGCACTTTAAGTACACTGAATTGGCCTGGAGGGCTGTTAGGGTTGCTGACTCTGGTCCCCGAGTTCACAGGTGAGGAGATGCAGGCCCTGGAGTAGGGAGAGGGCAGTCTCAGGCCCTCCGTGGTGGAGCCAGGCCTGGGGACCAGGGCCCTGACCTGCAGTCCCTGCAGGCAGCTGGGATCGGCTCCGTCTCCAGGTACCTCTCCCTCCCTCAGGGGACTGTGCCACTGAGGGGATGGAGGGAACCCCAAGGCAGAGGGCCAGACCCTTCAGCTACTTTTGCCCCCTGCCTCCCAAGCTTGCTCCAGAACCTATAACTGTGGTGTCTTGGATGCAAGGGTCCTTTTGGGCACCGAGGCTTCAGGACTAAGCAGCTCAACCTATGGGCCTTGCCAAGGGGCCCATTCCTGCCAGCTGCCTCAGGCCCAGGTAGTCAGGGAGGGTGGCCTTGATTCCAGGACTCACCGTCGAGATTGTTCAGGGACATGACAACATCCAGGTCAACACCCAGGATCTCACCAAGCTGGTTGACAAGGGCAGAGTCATTGGCCGGGTAAACGGCCACATGGTCACCAGATTCATACCTAGGGGGAGATGTGAGGGTCAAGAGGAGGGTGGAAGGTGTCTTTGCACCCGGGTTAGGAGGCCCCGAGTGAAGGTGTGGGGGAGGGGGTGGCAGCAGCTGGTACCTGATTTTGGAATCTGAGATGTCTAATTCCAGGTGCATGAGGTGTCGCTCAGTTCCCTGGTTTAGCTTCCGGTTGGTGGTGACTGCAGCCAAGAATGGATTCTT